AAATATATTCCTCCACATATATAAAACATGATCATTTAAAACCTATAGATCGATAAAACCACCAGCTATGTAATCTAATAATCAAATTATTTATACTCTTAGTTATATATTTATAATTCAATTCTTAATTCTCTAGGTATAAAAAATATAAATACAGAGGAAAAAAAAAAGGTTAAAACCCCATTTTGGTCCCTCAACTATTGTACGGACCCCTGATTTGGTCCCTGAACTAAAAAAATCCCTGATTTGGTCCATACTGTTTACCATTTTGACCCCCATTTGGTCCTTCCGTTAAAAACTAGCTTACGTGGACCGTTACTTGACGGAAAAAAAGGTGACAATTTAAATACCTTGCCACATAGGATTGATAATGAAATAAATTATAAAAATAAAATTATTACATGTTAAATTATAAAGATAAAATTACATTTTTACCCTTCTTCAACCACACATCACTTCCTTTCCTTCCTCCTTTCGTTGCCCCTTACTTTCCCCTTACTTTTCATCTCCAACCTCTTTCGTTGTTCATCTTCTTCCTTTGGATCCTTGTTTGCCGGCTTGGGTTTTAATCTTCTCCTTTCCTCATCTCCTCATCATCTCTTTCCTTTCATCATTTATCATCTCCTTTTCGAAACCCAGCAGATCTGCTGGGTTGTGGAGAACCCAGTGATATGCTGGGTTCAATTAATCAAACCCAGCAGATCGCTGGGTTCGATTTCGATTAATCGAACCCAGCAGATCTGCTGGGTTCGATTAATCAGGGAGAACCCAGCAATTTGCTAGGTTTGATTTTTTTTTTTTATAAATATTTATGTTTAGAAGCTTGAATTTTAGGGATATTTTTGGGTTGCAGCTGATTGTTTTGCTAATGAATATTTTGTTTGTGTGGGTTGTTCTCATTGAGAATTTGGCAAAAATTGGTTGAGGGAAAAAATTTGCCCATATGGCTACTTGTAATTATCGAACATCTGTTGGGTTCTCAAATCACTGGGTTCGATCAAGAACCCAGCGATCTGTTGGGTTCTCAAGAACCTAGCGATCTTCTAAGTTCGATTTCTTTTTTTTTTTCTAAATATTTATATTTAGAAGCTTGAATTTTGGAAAAATATACCTAGATATTTCTGAGTTTTTTTGGGGAGGTTGAAAGAAAGAATTTAGGGCGGTGATGATCTGGGGAGATTTTGGATTTGTATTATTTTTTGGTTTAATGTTAAAAGCTGTTAGGGTTTGCAGAAGGCGAAAGGAAAGGAAAGGAAGAAGACGAAAGGGAAAAAAGGAAAATCAAAGGAAGAAAAAAAAAAAAAAAAGGGAAAAGGAAATATTTTAAGGTTTTTTTTGCCATGTCATTGTTTTTTTTTTTGCCATGCTGTCATCTTTTTCCGTTAAGTAATGGGACACGTAAGTCAATTTTTAACGGAAGGACCAAATCAGGGTTAAAATGGTAAACAGTAAGGATCAAATCAGGAATTTTTTTAGTTTATGGACCAAATCGGGGTCCGTACAATAGTTGAGGGACCAAAATGGCGTTTTAACCAAAAAAATAATAATAAAACCCAGCGTGGTGTTAATCTGGATTGAAAACAATTTGTTCTCGCAATCAAATTGAAAATGGGATGGCTGGATCTTTACAAATTATAACTTCCACTGAAACCTTGATTGTTCTTCTTCATCTTTCCCATGTCCATTTCCCGGGTGGCTTGGCCTTCGCTGCTAGAGCCGGAAGGATACAGGCCGTATTCGCTGGTCGGGTTGCTTGACTCCCTGCTAGCACCGTATTCTGTGCTTCCTAATGCCATTTTCGTGTGCTTTTTCATATCTTCATTGTACTGGGTGGCGCCATAATCTGGAGTACCGTAACTGTAGATGCTGCTGTGTCCGGGTATGATTCCTTCATTGAGGTCAGAAAGAGATGCCTCTCCTTCTAGAGCACGGACTATCTGCTTAGTTATAAAATTTTAGTTAGAGTGGTCAGAAAAAGGACAATCTCCAGTTAATATTTTAATAATTACCTGGCTCATTCGTGGCCGAATTCTTGCTAAATGTCGCACGCAAGCAGCAGCACAGATAACCATGCGTGCCATCTCATTGTGGTTATATTTGCTTTGAAGTCTTGGATCAGCCAGACTGTCAAAGTTT